TGGAGAAGACTTTAGGGCTAATTTTTGTGTTGCCAAGTTAGGCAGTGACATGATGGGTGATAAAAAAAAATTCAACAGCCGAATTCAAGCAATTCGATTGATTAAAATTTTTCAAAGTTTTCTACTTCTTTTTTTTTGCCTTTTCTTCTTTATTTTTCTAAACTAATTAATGAAATAATAATAATCTATATAACAAAAACATGATCAAAATATCCAAATAGGTTTAAATCAGACAAACAAATGCAATTCGAACCTATTTCAATCAATCAAAACAAAATTAAGTGTCTACATGTTCCACATACAATATGATAGTTAGATTGAAATAATGATAGGTTGTCTAAACATAAAATATCGATCTCAAAAGATGAAAGTCATATATGATTAGGTTCCTCTAAAGTTCAGACAAATGGTCTAGACAGTGAACTTCTTTTGTATATGTAGATTTAAAGTAATTAAAAGAAAAGAGAAGCAAACTCAACACCTAAAATACCAAAGCAACAAAATAACTTAACATTATGAGCCTTGAACAAAAACTAATAACACCAGCAAAGTCTGGGAAAAAGTAGAGGCCAAAGATGAAAGTATGTTTCGTGATTTATGTCAGTTTTGAGGCTGCACATAATATTCCCTAATCAAGAATAATGCTTCTCCTTCAATGTTTTTATAGCTCTCTCATTTTAAACTACATTTTAAACAAACCCTTTTTATGAGAAAACTGAGAATTAAGTTTTAGAAACAGATCGCAGCTTTTGTTGACATGTATGCAAAGTTTTTCTTTTATCCCAATTAATTGAATATAGTAATTTTGGTGATTCAATGCCTCTTGGTCTGTGGATTCAAGAGACTCGAATTTTTTAAAAATTATTTTAATACTTAAAAATATGAAAATATAAAAATTTTATTATATTTAACTATATTTTAAGATTAAATAAAAATATATTTTATTAAAATTCAAGTGAAATTTATTAACAAATAAAATTCGAGTTTAGTCTAAACTCTAAAACTTATGTCCAGAACCAAATTCAAATTAGACCACTTTCATGGATCGAATGAATAATTCGGTCGGTGAATTGGTCTATGAGACTGTTAGTGATTTCTGGGTATGAGTAAGCTGGATGATGGTTTGAAAGTTGTGTTGAGAACGATCTATACCTGTAGTAGGAAAACAAAGTTAAAGAGCATCGAAGTTAGTTTTTCGGGATACACTCCGACATTCAAATCAGTCAATTGTTTAGGATTTATCTAGGAAAAAGTTGAGTTGCAGAGAATGCTCAAGAAGCTTAAATGAGAAAGTTTGTTGTTGCCGTACCCGTACCTCTTTTTTATTTTATATATGAAACAAAGGTGGCATTGGAGGTGCTACTTTCAATCTAGAGGGGGCCATGGCTCCCCCAACATTTTTGAAATCTTGTATTTAGATAAGTTTTAATCTACAAGATTCCTCAAATAGATAAAGATGGCCTTAAAAGAAAGTTCTTTGTGATTAAAAAAGCTTAAATTTTAAGATAAAAAATTCAAGTCTCAAATCCTAATCAATTTGCAAAATATATTAATATTTAATAGTTTAATCCTCTTTTAAAAACTAAAAAATAAATTGCTTTATTGCTTTATATAATGAAATAAATTTTTTTTTATTTTAGTTTTTTTAATTATTTTATATACGTTATTGATTTAAATTTTTGCATTGGATAATGTTAAAAAAAATTATTAAATATTTATTTGATTATTACAGTCTTATAAAAATATCATAAATTCACTTCATTGTTGTCTTATTCCTTAAATAAATATTATTATACAAAATATTACTTAAATTTTAAAATAATTAATTAATTAATAAAGTTCAGGTTTTGTTTATTATTTTAGATTAACTTGTGAAGAAAGATTAAGTTAAGGAGTTTTTTTTTTTTATGTTGATTAATCTTTTGTACCTCTTTATTTTTACTACATCACTTAAAAAATATTTTTATGATAAAAATTGTTAAAACAAAATTTCGTAACAAATGTAAGAAGAGTTCCCTGAAAATAATCTTATTTTATACATTAAAAAAATTTTGACGAAACTTTCCACTCAAATTATTTTTTTCATAAAATATTGCCATGCACAATTTTAAATAAAAGAAATTGAGTTTCCTTCATTTTTAGTAGTTTTTTTTTTTTAATACTTGAATTTTTATGTATTTTGTTTATAATTACATATATCAAATTTAATATTTCACATATGTTTTTGATAATTTTTTATAAAATAATAACATATTATATATTAAATAAAAATTTTTAATTATTGATTTTATTTTATTTTGTCCCCTCTAACTTAAAATTTTAGATTTGTCACTAAAAAATAGTGATGTAACTAAAGTTGTTAACAGTTAATAATAAATCCACACGAAACTCAATGAAGGGCTATGTTATTAAGTGTATGTTATAATTAATGATTACTAACTAATATGAGTCACATTTAACGATTATAGATAAATCGAAAGTTAATTTATCTATTGTGAGATGATGAATAAGACATTAGTGGTGATAGTTGATGAATTCATACTGTAGCAAAGAGTCTAGAGATGTCGATCATTTTTAATGATGATATGGTAATCGGTTATATATTAGCTTAACGAGTATAGAAGTTTACCTTTTTGACTACTGAATAACAAGTGATGGTGTAGCAGAGACTATGACCATATAAGGTATATAATTAGTAAATACATTTATTGTAATCAACAATCGGCCGATTTGGAAACCAAATGCCTTCTAATTAGTTTTGAGTGCTCCTTACTTTGTAGATACGGTAACTTACACTTTGAAAAATTCGTAGTTTTAATATTCAAATGCACGGTAATATCTGTAAGATGGATGTATAATAATATTACTATTATTGCACGGTAGCTATACCAAGAATTAAATATTTTTCTACATATATAGGAAAAAGAAAACTAAATAAAATTAATCTTTCGCTTACAGACTCTAAAAGCACTAATAAATTATATTTGGGTTTAAATTAAAGAATAAGCAGCAAAACATGGCATTCGATGTTTGTGTTTGGCTTGAGGATTAATGCATTTTACATTTTTTTTATTGGTAATTGCGCTCTTAATGTGGGGGGGGTGGGGGGGGGGGGGATGATCAAAATAAAAGTAAGAATTGAGCCTCAGAGCAATGATGGGTTCTTGCTTCTTCCTTGGTGCTAGTCTTGTCACAACCGTTGCAATTTGCATTCTTATGGTTGAAGCAATAATTACACGGTTGTTTGTAATTCTTGAGAAAGTGTTGAATGGTGATGAAGAAGAGGACATAGAAATTGAATCCCTAGCTGCGTGTTCCTTATTCTAGTTGCTCGCTGGTATAATCTATTGGCAGACTAATAATTATCTGGAAAAGGCTTTGAGTAAGCACCCAAATTACCCCCTGCGATGCTTTGGTGTTTATTTACACAAGTCCTTATTGCTTTGGTTTGGTCATTTCGATTATCTTGGCCGTTACATTCTTCTTTGTCACGATCATCGGCTGTGCAAGTACTATGGCAAGTGGCAACTAGTCCGAATATATCCGATGCCGAGTATCGAGATACCTGTTTGCCCTGATCCAGCTTCCAATGCATCAGGTATAACAGAAAGAAATGTGAAAAGATTCAAATTTTATAAAACTAATGGGCGAATTATAAAACTTTCGTCTCATTGTTTGGTTTTTTTCTTTTCAAGTTAAATGACGAAGCAATTTGTATCAGTCTCAGCTTTGTATCTTCAATGATACTATGTTCAGATCCGCATTCGATAGACAAGGAATTTACCCAATTTAAGTTCTTATAGTTTTGTCCTATAAAAAAATCTCACAAGTATGAATTTAAATTTTTACATATATAATATAATATAAATTTAAATCTCAATATATATAATATATTCTCTACTCACACTTTTTTTATGTGCGGTTATCCTGATATCTTTTTTATGTGGAATTACAAGCATCACAATCTCTATCATTAAAATTTGACGTTTTTGTCAAACGAAACATAAAATCATGACTAGTATCACACCAAAATACATTTTTCCTGTACGAGATTAGAAGTGTTACGATATTTCTCATTAAAATTTGATGTCCTCTTCAAATTTAATATAAAATGATGACTAGTATCACACCAACTTGACATAGAATTGTAATCAGTATCACATTAAACGTTAAGATTTTAAAAGTAACTCTTACAGTATAGCACTTAATTTTCGAATTTTCGATTAGTGATTGTTTTGATATCATTTATAAAGATTTACAATCAACTTGTGAAGTATTATCTATTTTAATATAAAACTCTCAAAGGTTTTGTTTTATAAAAATGCCTTCTATACAAGTGCAAAGTTAAAGGGGACAGGTAAAAGCCATAATCTCCCCAAAAATTTTTTACTTCTCTTATAATATAGTGACCAACCTCACCTCATTCTTACCTTGGCGTCCTCTTCTCTATTGAAATTATTGTTAACCCCCTTATCAATTTTTTGTCTTCACCTCTATTTACAGTTTAAGTCTTTATATATCATATCATTTTCTCATTTTTTTTCAAACATGGAATTGGAACGTCGTACACTACGAAGGCTTCACGGTAAGAATATAATCCATTATGTGGTGCAGGGTTTATCGTGCTTGCAAAAGGGAACTAACATCTAGTTCTAGACCCAGAAATGAAAGCAAAATTTTCTGATTTCAGATTAGGAAAGCAGAGTTCGACCATCTCATCTTTGCACCAGAGTTGGTGGCACGCACACATGGTTATTATTTGGCTTCGGAATTGTGATTCGTGAACTTATGAGTTGGAGACTGGCATTTGATTCATCAATTCATCCAATCTTTTTATCACAAATTTTCCTTGCAAAATCAGGTAAAATATGTGAGAAATTTTCAACGAATTAATGGGGTAACGGGGTGATCAGAAGGTTTGTTTGTGTAGGGACTAGGGATGCTTTGTGCTGATGGGATGGTTCTTAAATTGACGCATATAAAAATTATTACATTTTAAAATTCTTCAAAACTAAAAAAGAAATATTACAAGAAGTAGCAAAATTTGGCCACATGGACAATGAAACATGGCTAAGTTTTGCCACGTGGCATCCATTAATAAAATGAACACTACATTGATTACACTAAACTAAAGTTAAGTTCTGTCTTACACATGGAAGATCCTAATTTGTTTATCTAGTCTAAATAAAAGTGATACGAGGTGAACTGCTCTTCTCAGAACTGGAAAAAGCAGCACATGACGGGTGTAGAACAGTTTATCCAACAAAGAATTGGAACAGTTGCGCTGATGTCGAGTATGTTTAGTTCTGGAAGAATTCTGAAGGTATTGATGGAGGGCAGTACTTCTTTGCAACACATTTGTACTGAGGGAAAAAAATAAAAGGAGTCAAAGAAACTCCTAAAACTGTTTAATATCATTTGGTCATAGTTAGTGAAGAAATAATGAGCCAACTTGGTGTAGCCAATCTTTTGTTTACCTTATGCTGATAGTATTTCTCTCTGATTGCAGGTAAAGTAGAATTGTTGTTGTTACAGCATAGTCTATGAAGATCCTCAACACAGTCACATAGATCAGAGGGCTTGTAAAGTGTGTAATGCTGCAAGGTAGAATTCTGCACCCATAAGAAATGGAGATCAGACTTATAGTAAAAGTCAAGAAAAAGAGTTCTTTTATTAACTAACAAAATTTTTTTTTTTTTATTTAAATTATACATGAAAACATACCCAAGGTCTCTTTGAAGGAAGAAGCATAAATTTGGCCAGGAAAATTGCAGAAGCGGCAATAAGTGATGGAGCATAACAAAGCATACAATACTCGAGCAGAGATAGTTCAGCTATGTAGTTTGCCATGCACTCTAATTGCATTGATGGAACCTATTATTCATGGAGTTAGGGGAGGAAAACCAACACAAGAAATCATGGAGTTAGGGGAGGAAAACCAATTATTCATCAGTGGAAATGACCATGGTTTGTTTGATTTCAATTGACCACCACTTTAAACATAGTCACAAATGGTGTTATTATGGTATCTAAGTAGGTGATGTTATTTGCATATGACAGAGGAAAGACAGAGGAGCCAGAAACTGAATCACTGAAACTCAAAGACAAATACCTCATTGATCCCTTGAGCAGCACGAACGAACCGTCTGAATGTCATATCAGTGATCAAAAGTTACTACAAGAATGTTAAACATGAAAACCAGAAAATAATTTTTTAATAATAATGAGCTTAACAATTACCTTAAGAAACATTTAGCTGTGGGGGCAGTCATTTCAAACTTCAAGTAATTCAAAACAGAAGATTCCATTTCTAGAACCTGTTATAAGTTAGAAGTTTAATAATGCCTTGGTAAGATTTTATATAGTAGCAACTTAAAAATTATTGAGAGTTGACTGAGAACAAACCTCCTCCTTGAAATATGTATTATCAGTGATGTAGCAAAACTCCTCCACCTGAGGTGCGCAAATCTCCTCATATTTTCTGTTAAATTAAACACTCTAATGTTAAACATTGTATCCCTGGAAAAATCTTGGATGAAAATTGAGAAATGATATAATGTAAAAGAAACAAAAGAAAGTAGTGGAAGTGTTATTTCTTACGCAGCAATCATCATGCAGGCAACACCAAGTAACTGTAGCCGTTGCCTATTCATCATATTCCCTGAAAGATACCGATCTATGTAGTTCACTGTCAAATATAACGTATCGGGTACAAGCCTATACTCTTCAGCCACCTGCAGTTAAAATTGAAAGTTTAGCATTAACAAGGGAAAACAAGAAGGTAGGCTACTGGCAGCAGAGATTATGCTAGCAGAGATAGTTATTGAATCTTGTATATTGGATTCTAAAAAAACTTTAGCATTAACAGGGGAAAACAAGAAGGTACTGGCTACTGGCAGCAGAGATTATGCTAGCAGAGATAGTTATTGAATCTTGTGTATTGGATTCTAAATAACCATATAACTTTATAAACAGACAGAAAATTACTTCTACAAGCCAATCAATAAGTATTGCACGCATGTTGGAATTTATGTCTTTCTGAATTCTCTCCATGAAGTCAGTGGAAGGTCTTTTCTTCACCTGAAAACCAAAGAAATAAGAAAGTTCAAGAGAAAATCAAAGCAGGCAAAAGGAGGACAAACATATAGAAGCACACAACAGGAACCAGAGCTTCCCAATCTAATCAGGAAGTAGACTCAAGCAGGACAGACATCTCTTTGAAACACTTCAACTTTGGCCTCCTATCTCCTAAGAATTCCACTTGAGATTTTCCAAGAGGACCAAGACATTATACATTCATACTCCATGGGTAACCATTAATTGTTCTCAGTCAAGAGTGTTTAACATGATGTATATATCTTTGTCTAAAATTTTCCTATACATTTTCTGATTGTAACTTTTAGAACTATGCTGATTTGTTAACCAAATCTTCAAAAGCATAACTTGGAGGTAGAAAAAAGATGGAAAACCTCTGATGCACGTAGGTGCTTGTAAATATCACAAGCAAATGTTGCACAAAGCTGTGGATCCATGTAATTTTCATCAACATCAACTATTTTATCGTCCATTTCCATCTCTGCCAGTGCATCTCTATTGCAGATATTTCCTGCAAAACAAATCACTTTGAGACTAAACGAGTAAATCAGGAAAAAGATAAGAACCAATGAAATTGATTAGAAATAAATTTTCTTTTTGCACTTGATACTGAACCTGTTGCTTCTACATGGTCCGATGTGTAGAGGTTGCTGCACGTCTTTCGCTTAATGGAATCAATCGCTGTGACAACATGATTGTCCATATATTCGACTTCAGGGCTTTTGAAAGAATCACAAGTAGACATTGTCTCATCCATAGAAACAGATACTTCGTCTGATTTCCTAGGAGAAAACTCCATGCTACATGGTGGAGGAGGGACAGTTGAGATACTAGGAGGAGGCAACACCACTTCATTTCCTCTTGGAAAAGATGTAACAACCTTGGGAGGCAAAACTGAACTGGTTCTTACATGTCCTGAGAAACCTACATTACTTGTAGGCTGTGTCTTCCTTGGCTTGGGGATTTTGTTTGAACATGGTACCTTCAAATTTGAAATTGAAAATCAAAAATCTAAAGCTGGAGCAAACAAGAATACCAAAATGAAATATACAAAACATACTAGTGCCATAATCAATCAAACCCACGGCTTCCTACTTAAATGTAAACAGAGCCAGTTGCTAGGCATAGTTTTTAATTGGATTACCAATGTGCCTAGAATGCCAAAAAAGAAATAAAAAGGTTCCAATCTTGAAATTAAATCTCTAACAATTCTAGCTTTATAGCAAAATTTTAAATAGGGAGGCTTTGAAGTCCCCATCAAACTCCAAGAACATTGTAAACAACTAAAATTTCACCACCTTCTATCTTCTCTTTTCTTACATTGTCTCAGAAAATTAGAATCCAGAAACGATTAACAAAGAAAAAAGATCATAAAAACTTTAAAACAGATTAAAATGTATGCAAAAAGAACTCAAGATTCACCAAAGAAGAGGACGAAACCGAGCTTCTTGAGGTATTCTTTTGGTTAGTAATGTTACTAAGAGGGACTCTCTTTTTAGCCAAAGAAGCCGTGGCTTTTCCCACATTCTCCGACGACGACGCATGCCGTTTTGCCAAATACGACGTCGTAGATGACGAAAACGACGATCGCCGATTGCCATTTTGAGTCGACATTGTCAGCTTTCTTTTTCGAAAGAGAGTATTGCAGAGAAATTTGGTTGGGGTTTTTATTTGAGAGGTTCTTCTTGCGTGTAATTAATTATTTTTATATTTTCTTAACGATCCTTTTGAGGCGGGGAGTTGGTTGATTTGAATTGTCGAAAGATCATAGCCGTTGATTCCACTCGATTATCGTTAGGAGCGTGATGTGGGGACAACGGACCATGTTTCGACCTCTTTCATCCGTGGTCACGGTCACCAATGAAGAAATGACACGTTGAACTACAAGTTGGGGTTTTGGTCTTTTCAATGGGTTGAGTGGATTTGATTGGTGTGTTATTGGGAGCAAAAGTCACAGCCGGGTGAGTTAGGTTTCAGGTATTTTTGAATTCGAATTTCAAACGGTCACAAGATCTGTCTTCACTGTGTAGTAACCTGGTAAACATACAAAAAAACAAAAAGTTTTTTTGAATAATTGAACTTTGACAGGTCTTTTGCATAGAAAGAAGTAGATATAATAATAATAAAATTTAATGTAGAGGACCCAAAATATTTTTATTTAATTTTAGAGAATTATCAGTGTTACTGTAAGAATTTTTTGTTGGTTTCTTTTTCCCAAATGAAAAAAAGTTTTCTTTCTCCTTCTTTTTTTGTCTACAAGGAAGTAGTTCAAATTCTTACCTAAAATTTGAGGCTTTCTACTTTATTAGTGTTCCTTTAATTAATCGTTATGCTCCTTTGTACATATAAAGTTCAAATTAAAAATGACACTTTATCCAATAATAGTTTGGTTAATTAGGATCTAATAATAGTATGGTCTATTAGAGTATTGTTGATCAAAGTTTGAATTTTGTTAATTTTAAATATTAAAAAAATAAAAACATTATTATTTAGATCTATTGAGGTCTAATTTAGTATTATTGTTGAATTAACTTTTGTATTTGAAAATTACTTTTTGATCCTACTTAAATAGTAAACAACAACAAAAAATACAACTTCGCTCTTTGTATCTATTAGTATTCCTTTAATTGTTCTTTTGTACATATAAAGTTCAAATTGAAAATGAAACTTTACCAATAATTGCATAGTTTGTTGATAAAAATATTAAAATTTTAATTTTAATATCAAAATTCAAATCTTGACAATTTCAAGTACAAAAAAAAATTAAAATTTTGGTATTTGTATGTATTAAATTATGGAATCCACAAACCAAGTTTATTTGACTTGGGTTGAAAATGTCGAAAATATTAAAGATATAATGAACTAATTAAGTTATATAAAATTGCAATTAAGGATGGATACAACAATGGAACATCCTTTTCTTGCATGCCTTTGTTTATTTTTCATTTTTCTTTATATTTGTTTTTTTCTTTATTTCAAAAAAAGGATTATAACTCAACTTGTTAAGCAAAAAGATAACATACTTAATTGTGAGTTAAATGCTACGATATTTAACCAAAAGGGATTTGTTGAGAATTTTTTAAAAACATAAACAAATTTCACAATGAGATCAACACAAAATAAATCACACACAAAAGACAATATTTAATGTGGTTCAACCTAATTGTTTACATCTACAAATGAGAGAGAAAATCTACTATAAATGTAGAGATTACAAATAGTACAAAACACTATAAACAAACACTAATCTCAAACCCCTGAAATAATCTTAGTTTTCATGTTCCCTAGTGTATAACCTATGGAATATCTTTTATCCCATACAATCGATGTTTCCCAAACAAAGTCCTTTTCACATCCCTACAAACCTATTTTTCATATAGAGATCTCATAACTTTCTTTCATAATTTTAAAAGTTAATACCTACTCTATATTTATAAAACTCAATTATTTTATCACCAAGAATTCCTATTACTAAGAACTCTTACCCATTAAGAATATTTTATCCTTAAATAAACTTAATTACTAACTAATTCTTTAACTAATAAAATTTCACTAAAATTCAAACTGATTCTCAATTAGAATTTGAGTCAATATCTAACAAATTTTTATCTTGACATAAATTCTACCATCATGTTGACCTTCAAGAAACCCCGACTACACAGTTGAATCAGTGTTGACTCCACTTGATTTACATAAGTGGTTAATACCCATGTGCAGCCAAATCAACTTCATCCAATTGACTTCACCTACAACTAATGCTTTGTTGTAGCATTTTCTTTTGTATCTCTTCAATCTCACAAACAAAATCTATAATAGCAAATCCTTTTCCATAATTAATGTGAGATAACCTCAATAATCTATCCCTTTCACACATTAAGCCATAAGAGAAAGCTTCTATATATGGCTCATGAGGAGATGTTAGCAACCTAGGGTTGATACCACTTATTGGGTTTTTTTTTTTAAACAGAAATAAATTTCACAATAAAATCAAAACAAAATAAATTACACGTAAGAGACAATATTTAACGTGGTTCAGCTTAATTAACTTCATCCATGGATAAGAGAAAAAATCTACTATAAATGTAGAGATTATAAAAAGTACAAAATATCATAAACAAGTACTAATCTCAAACCTCTGAAACAATCTTAGTTTCCATACTCCTTAGTGTATAACCTATGGAATATCTTTTATCCCATACAACTGATGTTTTCCTAAATAAATTTTTTTTCACATCCTTACAAACCTATCTTTCATATAGAAATCTCATAACTCTTTCTCACAATTTTAAAAGTTAATACTTACTCTATATTTATAACGCTTCATTACTTGATTACCAAGAATTCTTATTTACTAAGAACTCTTACTCATTAAGAATATTTATCTTTAAATAAACTTAATTGTCAAATAATTATTTAACTAATAGAATTTTACTGGAATTCAAATAGATTTCCAATTAGAATTTAAGTTAATATCTAATAAATTTTCACTTTGACACAAATTTTACCATCACATTAACCTTCAAGAAATCTTGACTACACATAGTTGAATCAGTACTGACTCTACCTGATTCACATAAATGGTTAATACTCATGTGTAGCAAAATCAACTTCATCCAATTGATTTCACCTGCAACTAACACCTTCTTGCAATATCTTTTCTTACATGTCTTTGATCTCACGAATACAATTTACAACAAAAAATCCCCTTTTACAATCAATGTAGGATAACTTCAATAATCTCTCCCTTTCATATATCGGGCAATAAGGAAAGCTTTTATACCTGGTTCATGAAGAGATGTTAACGACCTAGCTCTGATACCGCTTGTTGAAATTTTTTTAAAGTAGAAACAAATTCCACACTAAGATCAACACAAAATAAATCACATGCAAAAGACAATATTTAATGTGATTCAACCAAATTGCCTACATCCACGAATGAAAGAGAAAATTTATTATAAATGTGGAGATTATAAAAAGTACAAAATACTATACATAAGCACTAATCTCGAGCCTCTGAAACAATTTTAGTTTCCATACTCTCTAGTGTATAACCTATAAAATATCCTTGATCCTATACAATTGGTGTTTTCTCAAACAAACTTTTTTTCACATCCCAACAAACCATCTTTCATATAAAGATCTCATAACTTTTTCTTATAAGTCTAAAAGTTAATACTTACTCTATGTTTATAAAGCTCCATTGCTTTATCACAAAGAATTCCTATTACTAACTCTTACCTATTAAGAATATTTATGCTTAAATAAACTTAATTATCAAAGTAATTCTTTAACTAATAAAATTTTACTGAAAATCAAACTAATTTTCAATTAAAATTTGAGTCAATATTTAACAGGGTTAGCCCAATTCGTAAGGGGTAAGACTTTTATTTCCTTGTCAATTTAGGTTTGATCTTTTGTGAGAAGTATTTTAAAAATAAAATCCTGATTGCATCAGACCAATTTGAGGGAATACATCTTTAAGATCATTTAGAGAGAAAATTATATTCAAAACAAAGTTTGATAAATACCTTCTACTATATTACAAAATAACCAATGATACTTATTTTAAATTTTAAATCAAAATAACACAATAGACACCCGATCATATGAAATGTAATATAGCAAATTTTTTATATGGAAGGCAAATAAAACAAAGGTTTTAAAACTAACATATTCTCAAAATACTTTTTAACAATAAATATTATCCTTTAATGATTTCAATCGTATAGTTTATTATTCATCTTGCAATTTTTTCGTAACCATATGAATGAAGAATCAAGATATAATAACAATGGCTAATATGCTATATAGAAAAGATAATTTCATAATTGACCATGAAATGATATAAAACTCTACGAGATTTTTTGTTATGAATATTTGACTCTAAAACCACTGGTATATATTTGAAAAACAACATAATATAATCTGATTTATAATATGACGGAGTATTCTCAAGTTTTACTTACGACAATTTCAATTTTAAGTAATTTTAAAAGTATATTCTCATACAGTAACCCAATACATTTAAAATTTAAATCTTAAAATGCTCTTTACCATGATTGAATCTTAATTAAAAAGCAAAGAGAAATTGTTCTCCTCACTCAACTGCCTTATCGATAAACAGTTAAATAAAAAAAATCCCATATATAAAATCGTAAAAAAATTGCTTCTCTTAACTTTTGGTCCACTTAGTATTTTCTTGATTGAAAGCCCTAAAGGTCTGAAAGCACGAAATCATAGATACGTCATCTATTGCATTGGGCCTGATTGGGCCATTTTTGTATTTAACCGAAATAGATGGCCGAGATTACTCCATTCATTCCATACGAACGGCAAAGATCTCTTCACCTTTGAAATCAACCAAACACTTTTTCACTCCTCTTTTACTGAAAAGAGTGAAGATCAAATAACAAAAAGGCACTTCCCTTCCCCTGCGACACTCACGAGTCACCCCCTCGCCTCTCATTTCTTTCTTTTTATTTACATTTATCTTACCATAATAACTAGATAAATAATAAAAAAAATCTATAAATTTTTACACAATCCATTTTTATGTTATAAGTTCTTTTGTTGGACCTATTCAACACTCCTATATCAAAGGAAAAAGGTTTTTATTTAGCTATTTAAATGAAATAACTACTCTTTTCTTAATTTTATCAAGTCTTCGGACAAAAAGCGGCAAGGCTCTTCCCCAACCTTGCCTAAGTTCCAAGGAAATGTCCACCAAAGTTGCC